CCATGCCAACAAACTCAAACGATCGCACTCGCTGGTGGTGGAGGTGGTGGTGGTGGTGGTGGTGATGGTTGTGGCAGTCACCAACACCCAACCCCCCAGCATGACTCGTCGTGCCTCTGGCATTTTGCTCACCTGCAGCCACGCACGCTATGCTCGTGTCCGGTTCATTACTGGGTTTCACGCAATGAAGGTGGGACGGTTTTGAGGCAGAAGGCTGGTGGGATGGAGGGGAGTGGGAGGAGTGGTGTCGGGAGGGGGAATGGCAGTAGGGCTGTCCACCACGTGCCGCTGCGCCCTCCCTGCTGCCAATATGTTTGCCACACACTTCATCCTTGCCCTCCACTTCCTCTTCCTCCTCTTCCTCATCTTCCTCCTCTTCATCCTCTTGCAACTCCACCTCTACCTCACCCTCCTCCTCACCCTCCTCCTCACCCTCCTCATCCTCCTCCTCACCCTCACTATCCCATGTTCCCTTGTGCATCATGAGCACCCCCGGCACACCACGCGCGTCACCACAGCCATCACGCTCGTTACAATCACCCCTCAGAGCATCGTCGCCTCCCATCCACCGTAGACTAAGATCGTTACCAAGCTCCCCTCTTGCAGCAATGTCAGCACTGACAGCACTGACAGCACTGACAGCACTGACAGCACTGGCAGCACTGGCAGCACCGGCACCATGAGTGTCAGCACCGTTGCCATACACCACTGAACCACTCACTCCGCCTAGCCCATCTGACCCCACTCGCCCCTTTCCCTGCCCCTGCCCCTGCTCCTCCTCTTCCCCCTGCTCCTCCTCTTCCCCCTGTCCCTCCTGCTTGCCCTGCATGTGCACATGCCCATGCCCAGTATGATACCACACACTGCATGCCGCTGCTGCTGCCGCCACCACCACTTCTGCTGCTACTGCCCCAGAGTCCACCCACTCCCCCCCACCCATCCACGCACCACCCGCCGCATCACCACTCCCCAAAACGCCCCCATCCCCTCTCCCTACCCCCATCATGCCACCCACACGCTCGGCTCCACCCATACCCACGATCACTCCCTCCCTCCTCTGCCGTCCCTCATACCCCTCACACGCCTTGCTTCCTTCCCACCCTTCCCACGCGCCCTCTCTCCCGGCTTCCAGAGCCTCTTCTCGTGTGCCTCGGGAGAAGAGGCGGGTGAAATCGCCAGTGCTGCTGGCACGGTGGTGTGCGGTGAGGGCAGGCCGCGGGGCACACAGCTCTATCTTGCGCCACCGGCTGCGCTGCCTGCGATGCCCTGCTGCAGCTGCTCCTGCTGTGGCTGGGGCCGCCTGTTTCTGCTGCTGCTGATTCTGCTGCTGCTGCTGCTGCTGGGTCGGTGATGGCAGTGGCGAGGGCAGAGCAGGGGCAGCGACAGCAGTGGGGGGAGTATTGGGTGCAGAGGGCGACGTGTGCAGCAAACCACGAGCACAGGGGTGTGTGTGGGGTAGAGTGGGAGTGAGGGCGTGGACGGGAGGTGGGCCAGAGGAGGTGCGAGGAGGAGGAGAGTTGGGTGAAGGGGTGCCAGGAGGGAAGCATTGGAGGGCAGCCACACTCCCGCAGTGCGATAATGAGCCTGCATGAGATGCACTCTCCCGTTCCTTCTCACTCCCTTTCTCACCCGCCATCTCTCTCTCTTTCTCACTCCCTTGTATGCCTGCACTGGTAGTTGCTCCTATGGAGATCGCATGCACAGCCAGCCACTCTCCACTTCCTGACCCTCTGGAACTGGTAAGGTCAGCAGCACCAGCACCAGCAACAGCAGCAGCAGGACTAGCATTAGCACAAATGGCAGCAGAAGCGGGAGAAGAGGCGGCGATGGAAGCAGCAGCAGCGCCAGGGGGGCTGAGGGAGCGCAGGGCACACAAGGGGAAGCGCAAGCGGCGATGCAACGCCGCGCCTTTTCCACCACCACTGCCACTGGTCCGCCCGCTGCTGCCATGCTTGCTGCGGGTAGGAGAGAGGGAACTGCGAGGGGAGGAGGGGGAGGTGGAGGAAGTGGAGGAGGTGGGAGCAGGGGGAGCAGGGGGAGCAGGGGGAGCAGGGGGAGCAGGAGTGGCGGGATCTGCAGGGCCAAAGTACCTGGGGCTTGGGACAGTGCGGCCAGGGCCTGGGGTTCTGCTGCCACCCCACACACCACCGCTGCTTTTGTTGCTGCTATTGCTGTTACCTGTGGCGCTGTTACCGCTACCGTTGTTTCTGCTGTTGCTGTTACTAGCACCGCTACTAACGCTGCCGCTGGTACTGTTGCCATTGCTTCTGTGGAGTGAGGAGCTGCGTGGTTGGGGAGTGAGCAGGGGGCCAATGAGGCCCCTAGCAGCCGGGACCTGCATGTCAGACGTGGGAGAGGCAGTGGGGGATTCCCTGGCATGCAGTGACCCTGTCATGGGTGCAAGAGCAGGGGGGGAACAGGGAGAAAGGGGGGGACTGTGTGAGCGCATGTCGGGTCAGCAGTGGCTCTTCTGTTGACAGGCAAGAGGGTGTTATGAGTGCGAGGGAGGTGGGCGCACAGGGAGGTGGGCGCACAGGGAGGTGGGCGCACAGGGAGGTGGGCGCACAGGGAGGTGGGCGCACAGGGAGGTGGGTACAGCGTGCGCTCATGCTCACGCCCAAGCCTGTGCCTGCATACCTATTCTCAACCACACCCATACCCACACCCCCCACCCCATCCCCACCCCAGCACCATCCACCCCAGCACCATCCACCCCAGCACCATCCACCCCAACACCATCCCCACACCACCGCACCCCAGCCCCCACCCCAACCCCACCCGCATCCCCACTCCCAAGCGCACCTGTTCCCAGCGCTGAGGGAGCTGCGGAGCCCACAGAGGCGCCTCTGGGGAAGAAGCGCGCAGCACTACGCGCGGAGCGGGGCGATTGGTGGGGGGAGGGGCGCGCTGAGCTCGACCGGTGGTGAGAGGAGTGCGGGCGAGAGGACCCCGGGGCAAGGAAGGCCCTGGGGACAGAGGGCAGACGCAGGGGATGCAGCTGACGGGGGGGCGGAGGCGACGAGGAGGAGGGAGTGGGGGAGGAGGAGAAGGTGGGGGAGGAGGGGAGGGTTGAGGAGGAGGAGAGAGTGAGGGAGGCGGGGGTGGGGGAGGAGGAGGAGGAGAGGGAAGGGGAGGTGGTGGTGCTGGCTGAGGGTCGGCAGAGGCGGCGCAGGAAGAGGTTGCTGCTGCTGTCACTGCTGCGCCGCACATGCATCATTCCATGCTGCTGCTGCTGCCGCTGCTGCTGCTGCTGCTGCTGCTGTTGCTTCTGGTTCTGTTGGTGACAGTGGTGCTGCTGGTGTGTCTGACTGGCGCTCCCCTTGTTGCTCAGATTGCTAATGCTGCTGCTGTTGCTGCTGCTAATGTTACCACCTACGCTGGAGCTGCTACTGAGGCTGGTTGTGATGCTGCAGCTGCTGCTGCTGCACGTGTGGCTGTGACGGTGTGCATGGAGGGGAGGGTCAGAGACTGCTCCCCCTCCACACCGTCCTCCTCCCCACGCTTCACACGCAGTAGCTGCACCCACAGTTGCAGCAGCAGCGGCGGCGGCGGCGGCGGCGGCGGCGGCGGCAGCAGGTGCAGAAGAAGAGGAAGCAGGAGAGAGACCAGAAGTTTTCGCAAAGTCATCTGCAGGGGAGCAGGTGGCAGGTGAGACGACTGCACCTGTTCCGCGCCCACAGGACGCAGCAGCAGGAGGAGAGAAATAGTCATCAGCAGCAGCATCGGCAGAAACAGTCAAAGGCTGAGGAGAAGAGCCGAGTCTCGAAGAGGACAGGCTAGCCATTTGCGTTGAACACACCTGCTCCTGCCGTAACTCACCGCGTTCTCTCCCTGCTTCTGCGTCCCAGTCGGCTGCTGTGCCTCTCTCCGCCCCTTCCCCTTGCTCACCCCTCTCCTCCTGCAGCAAGGCCCTCATCTGCTGCTCCATCCTCACTCTCCTAGCCTCATCCAGCCCCCCCTCGTCCTCCTCCTCCTCCCCCTCCTCGTCGTCACTATCGACACTCCCAAACCCTAGATCCTCCGATCTCCTCTGATTATGCACCGCCTCCCTCTCCTCCAAATCTTCCACTTCTCCACCTTCCATATCCCTCAGCTGCTGCCCCTTTGGCCCAGCACCCTCCCCACTCTCCCCTCCCCAATCCAGGGATCGGATTTCATGACTTCTCAGCCGCAGGAGGGAGCCTCCCACCGCACTGCACTCCGCATGACTCCACTCCACCGCACTGCCCTCCCGCACACAGCTCAAGTCATCTGACCCACCTCGCTTCTTCCCACTCCTCCCGCTCCTTTCTTTCTCCCTCTCCCTGTCCCTCTCCTCCGCGCCTGCTCTCCCCCCACCGAACCCCTCCTTCCAGCTGTGCGCTGTGCGCTTCAGCCGCCCCATGATTGCACGCCGCAAGTTACGCCGCCCTTCCGCCTCCCGTGCCAGCCCTGCCGGCCCTGCCGGCCCCGCCGCCCCCGCCGCCACTCCAGGCCCTTCCAAAGCCTCCCTCCTCCGCCCTGCCTTGCTCCCGGGCCAGACCAGCGCAGTCTGGTTGTGCGCGCTGCTGCTGTCTGCCCGTGTGCTGGCAGCGGCAACAACAGTGGAGTCTGATTCAGCATGTATGGCAGCAGCAGCAGCCGCCGCAGTAGCAGCATGGGGGCCGTCTCGAGCGGAAAAGAAACGGTCACGGGCAGGGGGACCATGACCATACACATCCTCAACCTCATCCTTCTCCCCCTCCTCTCCCTCATCGCTATCCCACGCTGCCAGCAACGAGCTTCCAAACACCGCCCTCTTGGTGCACGAAGACGCGGCAGGGAGAGAGGTGGAGGAGGAGAGCGAGGAAGAGAGGGGGAGAGAGGAGGAGGGGGGGAGGAAGGACGACACAGGGAGGGAGGAGGAGGGGAGCGAGGAGGGGTTGGGGAAGGGGCACGAGTGGGGAAGAAGGGAATGGGGCACGGGGGCGGAGTAAGGAATGGGGGAGTAACCATTGGCGCAGTCAGCCGAGCTTGTTTGTATGGAAACGCCAGCAGAGCAACCGCTGCCACCACCACCACCACCGCCAACACCACCACCACCAGCATCGCCACCTAACGGCAAGCAGCTACTATTGGAAGGCCATGACTCCAACTCTCCGCGCGGGTCCTCTGTCCAGCCCTGCCAACTTTTCTTCCTGCCCAGCGGGATTTTTTTCTCCTGCCCGTACTCCCAGTCCCTGCTCTGTAACGGACCTGACCGCCCCCTCAACGGTGTTCCGCCCTGCACCGCCCGTTGCGCGGGATCCACTTTCCGCGCGCCTCCCCATCCCCCCGCGTCCGCGTCCCCGGAAGCACTCCGCGGTCTCCCCCCGCGCGCTTCCCCCCAGAGGCTCCGCCAGGCGGCGTGCGCGTCCAGCAGCACGGCGGACACGCGCAGGGGGTCGGTTTCGCAGAAGACCTCGCGCGGCGACAGGTGCTGCGCGAATAGCGGCTCTGGCGGAAGCGGGGAGCCGAATAGAGAAGCGGGGAAGCGGAAGAGGGAAGCGGAGCGGGAAGCAGAAAATATAAACGGAAGGAGGAAGTGCAAGGGGGGCGGAAACAATGAGAAGTGACGTGGAAGCCATGAGGCGTGATCAAGGAAGCGGTGTCGCGTCGAGGGCACGAAACGAACACGCAGACTGGCACAAGAGGACCGACTCCGCAAAACGCCCCATTTCAGTGCGGTGAGGTGCGGCACACCGGCGCGAGTCATGCACAAGTGCGCGTCGTGTCGCCAGCTCGCGCGAGCATTGACACCGCCAACGGCTATCGCGACCTGCCAGCGGTTATCGCGACCTGCCAGCGGTTATCGCGACCTGCCAGCGGTTATCGCGACCTGCCAACGGCGGCGCTCCCAACATCGCCGCGTGACTAGCCTCCACAGCAGGCAACGCGGCGGCGATGATGCTCCTCCACATCGCTGCGGCCCTACATGGTCCAGCAGCAGATTACTAGTCGCACCTTGACTCGATTGCTGCGACTTGAGCCACTCCCGTATCTCTCGCAGCACCACGCGCAGAGGCGCACCCCGCCTTCGCCTCCGCTCGCCGCTGCGCTCCCCATCCTCGCCACCCTCTCCGTCCCACCCGTCCTCCCACTCTCCCCCGTCGACTCCCATTCCCCCTTCGTCCCCTCCCCCATCCTCTTCCCCCTCCGCCTCCCTTTCCCCCTCCCTTTCCCCCTGGTCCTTCCCGCCATCCATCCTCCCAGCCTGATAGCGATCCCCGGCGCGGCGCTCGAGCGGCGCAGCGGCATCGTCGCGCGCCACGGCCACAACGGTCCACAGAAGGCGGCCGCTCTGCCTGTCCTGCACGCCCATCGCAGCTACCGCCTCCACCGCATACACCTCCCCTATAGCGCGCGCGCGCCCCCCGATTTCCACGACTTCCACCGGCCCGTCAGACGCGGCTGCGGAAGGCGCGGCGTGGGTTGCGGGAGTTGCGGGCAGCGAAGCGCGGCGCGTGATCGCTCCCCTGCTGCACGCGCTACTGATTCCGCTTTCTCGCGAGGAATTGGTTTCTGGCGAGAGGAAGTAGTTTAGTGCAGAGGGGGAGGGAAGACCAGCTTCCGCCGCGGACGCGCGCCGCGCTGCGGATGTTTGCGGAACGATTCCGCAGTTCCAGGGGGAAGGGCGCGGGAGCTCGACAACTTGCCACGTGTCGGCGCTACCGTTACTAGTACCAGACGACGCTTCTGTTTTTTTCAAGCAATGACGCAGAGGCTCTAACCTCTCTTGCGTTGCCACGTGGCAGTCAGCCCAGGCGCCCTCCGGGGTCGCGCAGACGACGTGGAAAGCACCTGAGGCGGCCCGGAAAGGAACACCGTGCCACGGAGAGACTTCCCGACCCGCGTTGTTCGTTAAAGTCATGCAGAAATTGGAGGTACCAGGGGAGCCATGGCAAAGTGGAGAAAATTCAGCCATTAGTACGACTCTTTCGTTTAGGTGGAATTCGTATGGCTCCTAAAAGCTTCTCGTTCTTTCGTCCTGCCCACTCTGTTGGTAACGAGTGGCTATGCAATCCTGTCCTAGCACTATTCACTACCACAATGCAACGGGGAAATTAAGAGGAACCGTGTCTAGCGCAAAGCGACTGCCCGTGTCTTTCCAGATACAGGATTACTCAAAGACTCCTCAGGAGGAGGGACAGAAAGAGGGAGGCGTTGTCTGAGGCTCTGACTGTGATCAATTCATTCGGGAAGGTATTTCTCCCCCAGTTTCCACGATGCTGGCACTCGGACTGAAGCGGCAGCAAGTGAGGAGCGATTACGCTGCTGCTCCTGTGACCTGTCAGCACGGATTTCTTTCCTTTTCATCCCCACGCGTCGCGTGGCGTTCGTTCATCCTGTACAGTACACTGCCCAAAAGAGGTGTCACTGAAACGCAGTGCACCGTACTGAGACATACAGAAACGCAATGCACCATATTGTGCCACGATCCATCACAGAATCACTTGTAATCTTTGTCTTTGCCGCCAGCTCATCCAGCACCCACTCGCCCATCCTTTCGAGGAAACCGGGAAGCACACGCAGAGAAACAAAATGCCTCGGTGTAGTGTGTTTCTGTATGGTACTATACTATATCGCTGGAGGGTGGTTCTTTGGAGCCGAAAAACTGTACTGATACTGTACAGTAACAACACCACAACGGTGGGTGGGCAGGATGACGCGGGCAGCAGAGAACCGAATGACTTGTCTCTGATTGGCCAAAGCCCTAGCTTCTGTAACTTCGCCATCGCCACACTGTTCGGTTCAGTTCCGTTTCCTTCCCTGCTTGGTCTTCAGTTCCAAGGTTCGCTTCGCACCCACGATTGGCCTGTGGTCCAGCTGGCACCATTGAACGGTTTTTGCAAACGTCGGCGTTACGTTTGAATGACGGTGGAGCAGTCAACAACGTCGAGCTGGATGATGAGCTGCGGCAACTGAAACCCCTTATTGCCTCGCGGCCACTATCATTCCTTTACTTGCTTGGTTCACAACCCGCTATCAACGGCCATTTTCAGGTGCATGCAGCTTAGTCTAGGAACTGTATTCATGTGCATGCCATGTTATTGGGCAGGTGTGTACATGTTAAGCAGCATATAAATTTGTTATCCTAAAAGTACACGCTTCCCAAGATTCGTTTAAAATTAGCACAAACAGTCAAGAATATGTGCAATTTCGGATTACGCAAAGCGAACTCGGCATGATAGGCTCTCAATTCTGCATATTCTGACGTCACCAGTTGCAATCATTGCATGTTTACCCAGTTTCAATGCAAATTTCTGCTTCGCCCCAACTCTTCTTGAACAAATTTAAATGCTAGATCAGCTGTACCGTTGACGCAGGTGGCGACCGGTGCGCATGGCAAATCAACATTTTTTCTTGGGCGAGCAGAAATTTAGAGAGGTAATCCCAAACATGAGAATTTTGCCCGAGTGTTTGTAGAGTTTGCCCCTACAAAAAAATGTGCATACGCTACATGTATATTTTTATTGTTGGGGTACCTTAGCTTTCTTTACTTACCATTTATAATACTTGTAGCGTATATATTTTATAGTGGTAAGGGAAACTCTATTAGATTGGGCAGGTTTCTTACGTTTTGGGTTACCCTTTTCTAATTTTTGCTCGCCCACGAAAAAAAATGTTGATTTGCCATGCTCATCGGTCGTTGCCCGTGTCAACAGTACAACTGATTTAGCATTTGAATGTGTTCAAGAAGAGTTGGGGCGAAGCAGAAATTCGCATCGAAATTGGGCAAACATGCAATGACTGCTTCTAGAGACGTCAGAAAATGCAGAATCGAGAGCCAACCGTTCTGATTTCGGCTTTGCGTAATCCGAAATCACATTTATTCTCGAATATTTATGCTAATTCGTAACGAATCTTGGGAAGCGCGGGATTTTACGATAACAAATTTCTAGGCTGAGTAAAGTGTACACATCTGCCCAATAACATGGCATGCTTATGAATACAGTTTCTAGACTAAGTTGCATGCACATGAAAATGGCGTCGCTATGAACCCGCTTGGTTCCAGTACGGAGAATGATCAGATTGGGGCCCCAGAGCTCTGGAAAAGTCGCCAACTTGGGGCCTCGTGTGTCGCAAAGAGTCGAATCTGGGCCGGCCATGTGCTCAACCAATTTCATGTCAAACTTATATGCTACAGTCTATGTAGGCTGTAGTGGGGTAGATAATATGGGGTACAACACTTTTCGGTTTTCCTACTTGTACCCACCTGTTTCCTAGTTCATTCATTCCTCGTACTTTCTCACATGGTATAGAGCGGGTTCCCTAGTAGGACCGTTTTTTTTCAGGGCTCACCACTTGAAAAAATATCCTGCCCTACCTGAAGCGCGCCTCGGGCTCTGCACTACTGCCGCCCTTAGCGGCCCGCCCTGCCGTCGTGGCCCTTAGCGGCCCGCCCTGCCGTCGCGGCCCTTTAGCGGCCCGCCCTGCCGTCGCGGCCCTTTAGCGGCCCGCCCTGCCGTCGTGGCCCTTAGCGGCCCGCCCTGTCGCCCTTAGCGGCCCGCCCTGCCGCCCTTAACGGCCCGTCGCCACCCTGCCGCGAACCGCCCTGCCGCCCTTACGCGGCCCGCCCTGCCGCCCTTAGCGGCCCGTCGCCGCCCTTAGCGGCCCGCCCGCGCCTTCGTCGCGGCCCTACGCGACCCGCCCGCCCGTCGTCAACAATTCTTGCCATAAGCCAATAAAAAGGGGTACGGCCCTACACGGCCCGCCCGCCTCGTCGTCGCGGCCCCTTACCCTGCAGTAGCCGCCGAGGCCCAGTGGTCTGCAGCACCCGTCGCCCCTGCTGCCGCCGTAGCGGCTCTGCTGCCGCCGTCGAGCCTGCAGCAGCCGGTGCAACCGCCGATGTCGTCACCGCTGCAGCCCCGCCGTCGCGGCCCTGCCCTGCCGCCCTGACGCGGCCCCGACCTACCGCCGAGTCGCAGCCCTGCCCTGCTGCTTTCTCGCGGCCCCTACCCTTCCGGTGCGCCACGGCCTTGCCCCACCAGACGCGGCCTCTTCTCTCCCCTCCCGCCACTGGTAAGCGCACCGCCGCACCTGAGCCGCCCTGTCGAGCCGCGCCGCCCTGCCGAGCCGCGCCGCCCTGCCAAGTCGCGCCGCCCTGCCGAGTCGCGCTGCCCCTGTTGCTGCTCCTGCTTCCATGGCTAGCCCTAATGTTCTTACATTCGATGCTGAGGGTCGAGCGGTTGACTTCGAGGTATGGGTCGATGATCTGCAGCTGTATCTGCAGTGCGACTCTAGGGACGGAGTCTTACTGTTCGATCACACGTCCGGCGTCTCCATCGCACCTGCTGCCGATGCTGACAGTGCTGCTCGCTCGCAGTGGACCACGCCCGATGCTGCTGCGCGTCTTGCTGTTCGCGCACTTTAGCCAGTACAAGACCGCTAGGACTCTGTACGACGCTGTTGTTGCGCGCTACTCCTCCCCTGCCACTGCTGCCCTTAGCCGCCTCATGCTGCCGTTCCTATTCTTTGACCTAGCTGCATTTGCCACAGTCGCTGACCTCATTATGCACCTCCGCACTAGTGACACCCGCTACCGCGCTGCGCTTCCTGCCGAGTTTTGCGCCGCGAACCCCCCCCCTATGTACATCACTCTCTACTACCTCGTCACCCGGCTCCTTGACTCCCTTCGCTCGGTCAGGGACCACTTCCTCTCCCTTTGCCCCACCACGCTCACCGTTGACCAACACGAGGAGCGCCTCCTTGCAGAAGAGAAGAGTATAGTTGCTGTAGGAGCCTCTCGTGGTGACCCTCGTGCCCCTTTCTTTGAGGGGTGCTCCCCCGTTCCCCTTTTGCCTTATGTTGCCTCTGCTGCTGCTGTCGACCTCGTTGGCACCGAGCCGGTTGGCGCTGCTTCTGCTCCTAGTGGGAGGCACCGCAGCGGCAGAAGCAGGGGGGCCAAGGGTTCTGGAGGAGACGGCGGGGGCAGCGGTGGTGGCGGTGGAGGCGGCGGAGGGGGTGGGGGTGGAGGTGGGGGTGGTGGCGGGATTGGGGGCTTTGGTGGCGGCGGTGGAGGTGGAGGTGGCGGCGCCAGCGGCAGTGGGGGTGGCGGAGGCGGCAGCGGCGGTGGGGGTGGTGGCGGCAGTGGTGCTGGTCGGGGCGGCGCTGTGCAGCGGGGAGGCCTTGGTGGTGGCCAGCGCTAGCAGCAGCAGCGTTCTCGTGAGACCCTGTCACCCCAGCAGCTTCTTGAGTGGTATGCTGGGCGTGGGAGGTCTGGGGATGCTGGTCTTTGTGCTTACGTTCTCCGCATCGGCGAGCGCAGTGGGGAGACGTGCGGAGGGCCGCACGCCACGCAGCGCTGTTTTGGCCGCCTGACTGACGCCTGGCATGCATAGTTTCTTGACGCCACAGAGCCCCCTCGCTGGGGTGATCTACTTAAGTCTGGTATTGCTATCTTTGATCTTGACTATGCTACTACCCTTGCTGCTATATATGCTGTGACTATTAGTGCTGAGGGTGACTGTTACCTGTGTGTTCCGCCCGACCAGGGCATTGAGGCTGCTACTCTAGGTGCTAGTGAGTCTCCTGCACCAGGTGCTGGTGAGTCTGCTCTCTCATGTACCGCGTCGGCTCAGGTCTTGCACACGTTCACCATTGACTCGAGTGCTTCCTGCTCCTTCTTTCGCGACAGCACCACACTCTCGCCGCTCAGTCGGCCAGTGGCAGTCTCTCTGGCTGACCCCTCTGGGGGTCCGGTCCTTGCATACACCTCCACGGTTCTGCCGTGTCCGGCGGTCCCGTCTGGCTCTGTGTCTGGCCTCCACCTCCCTTCATTCTCCACGAACATGGTGAGTAGAGCTGACCTTCAGGATGCCTGGGTTGACCAGTTCGCTCGTGGAGATCAGCGGGTGACCCACTGTTCGTGTATTCGGATGGGCCGGCACCTTGCCACGTTCACCCGTCAGCTTGGGTCGAGCCTGTATACCCTGAATACGGTGTCTCCTCCGGTTGCTGAGTCTGGTCAGGTAGCAGCGTCGAGCCAGGTGTTTGCTGCAGCGTCCCGGTCTGGTCTTGAGTCGGCCCCTTGCTAGTTCCGCCTCCTGTCTCACCAGACTCTCCTCTGGCACCACCACCTTGGTCACCCCTCCCTACCTCGTCTCCGAGGCATGGCCTCCCGTATCCTTGTCACCGGTCTTCCTAGGTCTCTCCCTCCCCTTCCTCCGGGGCCTGCCCCTACCAGCATTCCTTATGTCGAGGGGCGGCAGCGTGCCGCTCCTCACACCTCCAAGTTCCCTCCGACGGAGGCTCCCCTACAGACTCTTCACATGGACGTGTGGGGCGCAGTCCGCGTCCGTGGCTAGGGTAACAAGCACTACTTTTTGCTGGTCGTTGACGACTACTCCCGTTACACCACAGTCTTCCCCTTGCGCCGCAAGGGTGAGGTCATTGAGGTGCTGATCGACTCGATCCGCTCAGCCCGTCGTCAGCTCAGCGAGAGTTTCAGCTCAGACTTTCCTGTTCTGCATCTGCACTCCGACAGAGGCTGAGATTTTTCC